AGGTTTAAACTAAAATAGAAAATTATGAAAATTAATTTAATATTTATGTATCATTAATATTATTAAAATAATATTAAAATTTCTATAGTATTAAAAGTTTTCACTATTAAAAGTTACTTCTAATTTTAGTATTATTTTAAAAAATTTCTATAATACTATAATACTATAATCATTATTTTAGTATTAATAACGGAGAAAAATTACTTCTATAATACTACTATTAAATTTTTTAAAATAATACTAAAATTAGAAGTAACTTTTAATAGAGAAAACTTTTAATAATATAGGTAACTTATAATATTATTATATTTGGACAGGGATGACATCATTTACCAAGTTTAGGGACCTGCGGTGATCATTTTGAAAGTTCAGGGACTGGGATGACATTGTCAACCAAGTTTAGGGACGTGCGGTGTTCACCTTGAAAGTTTAGAGACCTAGATGATATCGTCTGTCAAACTTAGGGACCCACATATATCACTTTAGAAGTTTAGGAATATGAACGACGTCACCGGCCAAGTGGAGGGACCCGTGGTGAATTTTGCTTTTTTTTTCTATGACAAGTCGGATGACCAATGATCAAGTATTCAAGTTTATCTTTGGCATTAGCTGTACTGCCTGCTGCTAGACTAGTAGCAGTACGCCACATGTTCAGACTGATGCTGAGTTGTTCCTTGATTTGTGGCCAGCTGGACAGCTGGTGTCTTTGGTCTTCTGTCGAGGAGCGGCCGACAGTAGTAGCTATCCTGTGGGCCGTGCCGTCCGTCAGGAACAGGAACAGGAGCCGATCGAGACAGTTTCCGTTTAGGTAGTACTAGTACAGCTAAATGCAGATTATTTTTCAACCACGGGTTTATTTAGGCCTTGTTTACATCCCGGTTAGAAATCAGTATTCAGTACTGTAGCACTTTCGTTTGTATTTGACAATTATTGTCCAATCATAGCCTAACTAGGCTTAAAAGATTCGTCTCGTAATTTACAATCAAACCGTGTAATTAGTTATTTTTTTATCTATATTTAATACTCCGTACATATGTGCAAAGATTTAATGTAATGGAGCGAGAGTGAAAAAACTTACAATCTAAACAAGGCCTTGCACGCACAAGTGTGTGTCTGTGATCCTGCTAATGATGATGATGTCCGACGCAGTATTGACTCATCCTTTGCAAAGTTGCAAGTGAGTGGAACCTGGGAGTGCACATGCTGCTGTTTTGGGTCCCTCGCACTCCCCCGGATATTAAATTCTCCGAATCGTTTGGTGGCTTTTATTCCGGATCTAAGTGTGATGGAATGTCTAGTTTTATTTTATCAACGGCAGCCTTCAGTACAGTGTAAACCCTCCCCCCCCAAAAAAAAAACTCAGCCACCTTTTCAAATACTGGAATTTTTCTACCATAATTCTGGCACACGGGTGTCCGTCCAAGCGTGTTTTGTCCGGACAGTTCGTTCCTGGGCTGCGCAACAATCGGGTCTAATATGTCTCCTCCGTTCCACCTTTAGTACGACGCAGTTTTTCCAAAAAATAAAAACACAGCGACATTTCCTTTGCTCACTGCCACACGCATGCGACCGCCATAGGCGCATCCATCGCGCCGCCCACCCACCGCTAGCCTTCTCCAATCCGCGCGCCCACTCCGCCTAGCTACTGCCGCGTGCCCATCCCGCGCCGCTCGCTCCCGCCCGTCGTGCTAACCCATCCCGCGCCGCTCGCCCCCGCCCGTCGCGCTCGCCCATCCCGTGGCGCTCGCTCCCGCCTATCGCGCGCGCAGTCCTCCCGGCTGAGCCAAGCCCAACGCTGCTAGTGATGGTGGTGCTCGCGCGCCGCCGGCTCCGACCCCAATTGCTGGAATCGCCTGGTCCTGGCCTCCCCCATTTGCAAGCGCATGTTTCAAGTGTTTCAGATGTTCCGTAGGTATGATTCAAGTGTTTCATGCGGATGTTGCAAAAGTAGATCGATATGTTGCAATAGTTGTACACGTATGTTGCAAGTGTCTGTTCCCAATGTTTCATCTATTTTTTTCAGACTTATGTTGCAAGTGTGTTTATCTAGATATTGCATATATTTCACACATATGTTACAAGTGTTTTTATCTGGATGTTGTATATGTTTGCAATTATATTTCAAGTGTTTTTGCAAGTATTTCAGACACATGTTTCGAATGTTTCAGCTGTTTTCGCACGAATGTTGCAAGTGTTTTCATTTGGATGTTTAAAAAGTAGATCGAAGGTGTTGTGTATGTTACAATATGAGCCACCTGCCGCAGCTGCTGTGGCGTCGTGCATGGAGGGGCACGGGAAGCAGAAAAGCGTGGGGGAGCGGCGCGGGCGTCCGGACGCGGGGGGTTTCGTCACGCCAGTGCTGTGGATTTTCTATATTACTGATTTGTATAAGATATTTGTATTGTTTTTTCTATGAAATTTCTACATTCCGGTCGAGTACTCAACCTAACAGGCTAACATGCTTGATTAGTTTAACCAACAACTAGTGAAGTGGCCAAATCCTTATGGTTTGTCAAGTCAAACCATTCAACTTAAAATTCAGATACGGTTTCAAGCCAGTGGAGGGAGGGAGCGTCCCGGTATAAAACGGGCTACTTTGCTGCATTGCGAAACCTAAAGGCCGTGTTTCGTTGGGGGAACATCACCTTCCCTGTGCTTTAAGCACACGATAAAGGGCATGTTCGGCAGGACTGAAAAATACTGTTTCGTTTGGTTGTTGTGAGAGAAAAATACTGTTCTGGTAGGACGTGAATAATGATTTTGTGAGATGGCTGGCCAGCCGGCAATCAGCCAGCCAGCCAGCCGAACACGGCCAAAGTCATAAAACTTATGTACTTGCCCTTTTTCTATTTTTTTTGTGTGTGTTCGGCTTATCCCATATTCGGCTTGTTCGGCTTCTTTTTTTCAGCCGGAACAGTGTTTTTCTCACACAACAATTCAGCCTGAACAATGTTTTTCAGCCAGTTTCAGACCAGCGAGCGAGGCCACTAGTATCGCGCGGCGTTGCCGCGCCTGCAAGGAGTACTTGTGATTTGATGCCAGTTTTGATTTGGGCCATTCATTTGTTGTTGTGATTTGAGGCCAGAAAAACAGATGGTTAGGGGACCGGAGTTTATCAATGGAAGATATATATTCAATGAAATTATAGTGGGCAGACCAATTGACCAATTCAGAAGCACAGGATCATTAGTAGAATTTGGCAAAAAAATAAATAGACGATGAACAACAGTACGACACAAAATTTCCATGCTACATTGTGATGCTTAAGTAATGTAGGAGACTGCACAACACAAAATTTGCAAGTCATGTAGAAATTTGCATGCTAAATGAAAGAACGATAAGGTACATTTGCTCTTTCCAATTTTCACCCTTGACAAATGAAAGGATTGGGGTTAAATTATAGGTCTACTAATATGACAAGGGAATGCACGATCTATCTTCATTAAGACTACCTCAATTAGTGATAAGTGGCGGGCTGTTTATTTGATCATCATAAGCACGTCAGTGATGGTTTTGTTTAAGTCAAGTGCTATGCGGTCCTCATAATCATCACTATAAGTGATAAAAAGTTGATTAGTCAGAACGGATGTGGCCAAGAAGTATTAAAAGCAAGCAAAGAATGTCAATAGGATGCCATTCAAAATTGGGCCATGGGACAAGCAATTTCAGGCACCTACTACTTAGAACAGAGCACACATCAGTTGTTTCGAGCAAACTTTGCAGAATGTGTTACAGCGTAAACACACAATGAACGAGATAGTACATTAACTCATCGACGGCTAAAACAACAATAAAAATGACTACTCATTGAGTGGGAAAGTGTATTTGTTGAAGAGCAACTGTAGAGTAAAGCGATGAAAACAGGAGGAATGAGGCGATGCCAATGCGAGAACCAGCCTCTGCGCCGTCCATGCTTGGCTGCAATGCCCTTTGCCGGGGTTGCCTCCACCACTGCCTGCAAGATGCTTGACAAAAATGTCCCGCTCGCTGTCTAATTTTCTATTAAAAAATTTACACACTAAGCATTTGATGCACTTGATAGATTCTTCCAGAGTTCTCTATGCAAGTTATATGATTCTTTGTACCGAAATCTGCAAGTTTCACAAGATTTGATTTCTCGGAAATTGATCAACAATGGTTTCAATTCCCAAAGACATACTGCTTTCCAGCACATCCATCATGCATAATCAGTGACTCTTTTTAGCCATTAGATATTAGATATTAGATATACCATGATATTTTGGTAAGCACTGTATTCGACCATATGTTGTAGGTAATATGACCAGGACATCTTTAACAATGTTAAGAATACCTGAATTCTGCCCAAACCACTTTAAAGATGCTTAATTGACAACCAATGAATCAAATGTTTGTCAACTCGGTTATATCCAAACTCTGTTACACAAATACTTGGTGTAACATGCATTTTCGTTTACTGCTAGATTTGTTGATTGGAACTAATTCACCTTCTATCCACTGCTTAAACAAGACATTTCTATGCTAACATGTATTAGTCTTCCTCAGAAATAAATAGCAGGAAAAAATTTAAAAATATATGCCAAATATCTGAAACTTGGTGTTCTATTCATATTCATGTCACACTACTTTTATCTCTACCGTTAGCAATCTTCGTCAGAAAGATATAGGAAAATACATCAAAATACTTGGTGAAACTCTAAAACTGAGCCAAGCACTTGACGGCACTGAATAGCTGTTCATGTCCACAGATTTTGCAGGTTGCTCCAGATGAATAAATCTTCTCAGGTGTCAGATTACCTGAAGCATTATGCAAAAAATCAATATCTGACTTATAATATTTCTATTAGGATTTTTTTCTTGGGATTCAAACATTGAGTGAATTCTCTTTGCTTTCCATCTTCAGTTTCGATTGCTGTTGATGAATTAGTGCTGCATATGCAGCTAGGTTAGCATGGCCTCATCGACGGCTACAGGAGCAGCAGGTGCGCGACGACAACGCACGGTCGGATGCCCCGGTCACCATGGATGCCATCGTAGATGCGCTGGACACCACGGCCAAGCCCAGCCTTGTGCAGCAACAGCACCATGGCAGAAATCTGGTGCCTGGAGATGAAGAGACGCTCGTCTCTGCGGCTGCAGTAGCAAGCTCGAGCACCTTCCTCCCACGAGATCGTGCTCCCCACAGTGGAAGGGTCCGGACCGGTCCGGCGCCCCTCTTGGCGAGCGACAGCGGCGGCACGGCCTCAGCGGGGCCGCGGGCGGCGAACGGCGGCGCCGCTTCGGCGGGGGCGGGGGTGGCGCTCGGCGAGTGCGAGAGTGGCCGCGGAGGAGGTAAGGCTCGGGCCTGCAGGAAGAGGGGCGGCGGGGGCTGGGACGGGGACGGGGACGGGAGCGGCAGCGGCGGCAGAGGCGGAGGCGCGGCGCGGGGCTGCGGGATGAGGAGCGTCGAGACCAGGGAGCAGGAGGGTTGATTTCGGTAAAGTTCAAGGGCTTTTTGAAAAAAAAAAACCTGAGAGGAGTCCTGAACTGCGGGTTGATTCGACTAAAGTTCGAGGGTTTTTTTGAAAAAAGATTGCTACTCGCCCGATCTGGGCCGTCCGCGCGCTCAATCCGATGGCCGTGAAAAGCGGGCGACGTGGCCACGCTACCTGGCCCTCTTTTAGGTGTAGGATTCCTATAAGAAGATATGTTATACTAGTAGACAAGTCGAAGTGTCAAAAAAAGCCGCATGATCATCTACCTACCAAGTACTTTGCGTTGCCATTATACGCCACTCACAACAATATACATACCATACATACACTTTGTTTATGCTGCCTCCCTAGATTGTAGATAATGACGGATATTATTGCTCCGGCTTTATATTTAATTTATTCATTCATATATAATTTCGTCGCTGCAATTCGCCGGGTTTAAATCCCCAGCCTTCACGCGGACACTAGCATGCAACACGCCTCCCATTTCCGCTTTTCCCTCCACAGCTAAGCTGAAGTGAGGTCAGGATTGAGGAGGTGAGCTAGCCATGCCGACGGCCTCCTCTGCCCCCCGCTCACTCCTCCTCTGCCTCTGCGTTGCTCTGCTCTCCAACTCGGCCGCCGCCTTGCCGTCGCCTCGCGACCTCCGCTTCTCCGTCGAGGACATCGCGGCGGTGGAGGCCGCGCTGCCACGCCACAGCAGGGCGTCCTCCTCCAAGACCACCTTCTTCGAGGTGGACCGCCCGCTCCGCCCGCCCAGGGGCAGCTCGGGCCCCTGCTCCACGCTGCTCCTCTCGCACTCCTTTGCGTTCACGCTCACCAAGCCGCCCGTCACCGCGGCGTACTCGCCGCCGCCGTGCCTAGTATCCGGCGCGTCGTCGTTGTCGCTCGCGGTGCTCGAGTGGCGCGCCGAGTGCCGCGGGGCGCAGTACGACCGCACCTTCGGCGTGTGGCTCGGCGGCGCCGAGATCCTGCGCGGCAGTACCGCGGAGCCCCGCCCCGGCGGGGTGGCCTGGTCGGTCTCCAAGGACGTCACCCGCTACGCGGCCCTCCTCGCCGCCGGCAACGCCACGCTCGCCGTGTACCTCGGCAACCTCATCGACGACACCTACAACGGCGTCTACCACGCCAACCTCGCGCTCCACCTCTACTTCCGCCCCCGCAGCGGCGCCGGCGCCCCGTCCTCGCCGCCGTCGGCCGCCGCACCCGCCGACGCCGTCGTCCCCGTCTCCAGGAGCCTGCCGCTCAACGACGGGCTGTGGTTCGTCGTCCAGAACGCCACCGACGTGCAGTCCGCGAGCGTCGCGGTGCCGCGCAACGCGTACCGCGCCGTCCTCGAGGTCTACGTCTCGTCCCACGACGCCGACGAGTTCTGGTACATGAACACGCCCGAGCAGAACGGGCCGTTCCGCGAGGTCACCGTCCTGCTCGACGGCGACGTCGTCGGCGCCGTGTGGCCGTTCCCGGTGATCTACACCGGCGGCATTAACCCCCTCATCTGGCGGCCCATCACCAGCATTGGCTCCTTCAACATGCCCACCTACGACGTCGAGCTCACGCCGTTCCTGGGCAAGCTCCTGGACGGCGAGGACCACGAGCTCGGGTTCGCGGTGACCAACGCGCAGAGGTCGTGGTACGTGGACGCCAACCTCCACCTGTGGCTGGACCCAAAGAGCTCCAAGACCACCGGCGGGCTCATCGCGTACGACGCGCCGAAGCTGGCTGGCAACATCGTCTCGCACTCCGCGGACGGCGTCGACGGCGAGTACGGGGCGACGGCGAGCCGCAACATCACGGCCACGGGGTGGGTGAGCTCGTCGCGCGGCAACGTCACCACCACGTTCGCGCAGCGGCTCGGCTTCTCCAACACGAACGTGGTGAGCGGCCACGGCACCGCGCAGGCGATCAACCAGACGACGGACGCGCTCACGGCCGTCACCGGCGGGGCCGCGTCCGCGCAGCAGCAGGTGCACCAGAGCTTCCCGCTCTACATCTTCCTGGGCGGCGACGGCAGCGGCACGTCGTCGCAGCGTCTGATGCGGCGCGTGGAGATCGGGTTGGACGAGACGCGATCCAAGGGAGGAGGAGCAGCGACGAGCACGCTGTGGAACTCGCAGGCGGCGTCGGCGGAGGTGACGCTCCGGGACGACGCCGTGGTGGGCGCGTCGTGGCGGATGCACCAGATGTACGCGTACGGCGCCAGCGACGGCGGCTGCTACCTGAGGAACGTAAGCAGCGTCGGTTACGACGTGCTTTTCGACCATCATGACGCGTCCTGCGCCGGTACGCGCGGCCGCTGACGCCTGTCGCCGACAGCGCCTTGTCGGCGCCTCCGCCGCGCGGGCCGGTGGATAACGGCCGCGGAAGCGACAGGGTGTAAATGGAACGCTGCACCGGTGGACAAACTGTACTGGCTTTGGCTCGGCCTGGCCTGGCCCACACCCGGTCTTCAATTATTAAATATACTGTCCTAAATGATGGGTCATTTTCATGTGCTAATTAGCTTTTCAATAAGAAAAGATGTGATGTGATGCAGCAAGCAGTAGTACAGGTAGACCCAAAATGTAAAGAAAACCGCTGGCTATGTTGTTTAATAGTACATGTTTTTTAATACAATTTGTAGGATTTTTCCCGACTATTTCAAGAACACAAATTCAAACAGCAAAAGTTGAGCTCTGAGCTTTTTAGAAGACATCCACTCATAATTGATGAAAATCTCTATGACCACCGATTTAAACATAAGACATGCCTCATAGTTAGCCAAGCACTTTTCTTTTGTTATAACAAAAAAAATTATTTGATTTTGTGCTTGCTTTCTGTTTTTCAGCCGGAGATTAAAACTTATAATTATGTTTGGTTAAGTGCATCATAACTCATGCAGAGTTCAATAAAAAAATAGTATTTTCTTAAAAAAAGAATTCCTAGGAAATTCAGGGATCGATGAAAAAGGGCTATTATACCTTTGTCCGGATGAAATTTCGGGCCGTGGAGTCTTCAGTCATCCGTCCCGTGTCCTAGACTAGGTACGGGAAGACAAAGACGTGACTTGGTGAACTATTGACTTGGAGTATATGAAAAGAAGTAGCAGGTAATTTTGTAACTCATACTTTCTACGGTAACAACATATCTATATCTATCTATCTATAGCTATCTATACTATAAAAAAGTGAAGGAAATGAAAATCATCTATTACTAGAAAAACTTCCTACCCACTGTAATTGACAAGTGGACCCATAAGAGAAATACGTCAGGAACATATGAAATGTGTGTTTCACGTTGCCGATCTCCCCTCCACTCTGTTTTTTTGCGCGCGCCGAACGTACCCGCCCACCTATACCCACTCGCAATCTCCTCCCGCGATTCCGCCCATGTACCCACAGGCCCAACCGCATCCGCGGCATCCCGAAACTGCCATCTTATTCTCCTTCTCACGCACACACACCCACCGTCGCCATCCCCTCCTCGCGTCTCCCGGCACTCCACGCGACTTCCTCCGTCCCCAGTATTGCCCGCGTCCACCTGCATGGCCTCACCGGCGAAGCAGAAGACCGGCCTCTCTTTCCCATCAGCGCCGCCCCTCCACTCGGCGTGGGCACCGGCCAAGTAGAAGGCTGGAGGACGTGCTCCAGTCGTTCAGTGTCGATGGAAAGAAATGGTCGGGCGGATATCCATCCCAACTTGCCGGTAAGTTGCCCTCATCTACTTTGTGTCGTTGTTCAAGATCAAATCCAAGCCTAATCCTAATCTTTCTTTCCTTCTGCACATACAGTTCCCGATCCAGATAGTCCCGCCTGGATTTGTTTTTCTACTCTTGCATAACACCAATCTGACCCATCTAAAAGGTCCTAATGGATAGAGGGGGTGATTAGTCTATAAAAATTTATACAACAATACTTAAGCCAAGTAGTTAGACAATTATGAAGCGAAAGCGAGTCTTGCGCTAGCCTACTCAAAATGCAAGCCTCATATCCATAATTCTAGTTATGTATGATCTCTATAACACACAAGAGGCTATGTCACTACCACTAAGTTAGTGAGTTCTTAAAGACTAACTAAACAGCCTCATTAACCACTAGATAAGACACGAGTTAGCTCTCAAAACTAATTACACTAAAGAATTTAGCTACACTAGAAAGTAAGTACAAGGGTAAGATAGTGAAGATATAACGACGTGACAAGCGACAAGCAATCAATCACAATGAATACCAATGAAATCCTCACAGATAAGATGACACAATGATTGTTCACCGAGGTTCACTTGCTTGCCGACAAGCTAGTTCTCGTTGTGGCGATTCACTCACTTGGAGGTTCACGCGCTAATAGGCATCACACGCCTAACCCGTAATCGGGTGCCGCACAACCAACACAAGATGAGGATCCACAAGCCACGAGCAATCCACTAAATTACATTTTTGCTCTCCGCCGAGGAAAGGTCACGAACCCCTCACAATCACCACGATCGGAGCCGGAGACAAGCACATTTTCTCCGCTCGACGATCCTTGCTGCACCAAGCCGTCTAGGTGGCGGCAACTACCAAAAGAAAAAGCGAAATCCGCAGCGAAACACAATCACCAAGTGCCTCTAGATACAAACACTCAAGCAATGCACTTGCATTGACTCCCAATCTCATAAAGATGATGAATCAATGATGGAGATGAGCGGGAGAGCTTTGACTTAGCTTACTAGGTTGTTATGTCAATAAAAATGGCTAAGAGGATGAGCTATAGAAGGCCATGGTGCTTAAATAGAAGCCCCACGAAATATAGTCGTTGGGTCATATAAGTGACCATCGGACTCTCGGTCTCGCGGCATCGGACCGTCCGATGGTCGGGTCCGACGCCTGCCTCAACTAGCCACGAGCTGCCACACGTCCTCGTTCAAAGTCAGTTGACCGTTGCCGCCAATGGTCACACGATCGCGCTTACAACTCCATCGTCGGACGCTTCGAAGGCCAAGGTCCGACGCCCGCGATTTTTACACATAGAGAGGGTACAGAATGTGTTTTTGAGTCGGACCCGAGTCCGACGCCCACCGTCGGACTCAGTGGCGAGTCCAGCGCTGCCACGTGTCAGGCCAGCGCGCGCCACGCCAGTTCCTGCGTAGAGGAATAGTGCGCGCGTGCCGTCCGACGCCGCTGCGCTGCAGAGTCCGACGCTCCCACGCCCGAGCCCCTGCGCTAGGGTCAGCCGTCAGACCCACCTGAGGCCGGTCCGACGCTCCAATGATCAGGGTCCGATGCCCCTAGATCAACTCCAACTTCGCCACCCTTGATCAAATATGCCAACCACCAAGTGTTTCACCTTGTGCACGCGTGTTAGCATATTTTCACAAATATTTTCAAGTGTTAGCACTCACTAGAAT